TGCCGGTCACAGTAGCCAAACGGTCTAAGGCATGCACTGTGTTCGCTCTCTCAGAAGCTGGGATAGTGGGTTCGAATCCCACTCATGGCATGGATGTTTAGTGTTTGTGTGTATGTGTTTTTTTCTGTGTTTGTATACAAGAAGAGGCCTTGCGACCAGCTGATAACCCGCCCAAGGAGTCCTACGGAATGTCTAAGATCTAGTAAACCGAAATGAAACGGAGAGTTTCATGGAAGTAGGCCAAGGCCCAAATTGATGCTGCAGCTCTAAAGTAAAAAAGAACTCCTATCTTGTTATCTCTCATGAAGCAGCTTTTCACCTTTTTTTTATATATGAACAGACACAATCGCCATGGAATTCAGAAAACCCCGACAGCATTACTGATTGTATGAAAGGTCGCGTCAAAGAAATTGGTGCACCGTACGTAACACACGAAAAGGTCACTGCACCTTTCTTACTCTCGGAAGACATCGCCACCAGTACTTGCTACTTCGATATGCTGGAATTGCACTCAGCCCTACAAGTTGAGGAACTGAGGCCAGGAATCTCGCTCCATGAAGAGGAACACCACCACATGAGGGTTCAATATTCACGAAATTTCTGGAGAGAATCTTCCTTAGAAAAATGACTGGAAGATCCGACGCCATTGCATGGACTCCAAGGTCACCTCCTCCACGTATGTGTTTTATTGGAGGCAAATAAAGGATCAGATAGGTGTTCTCCACAAAGGTCACTTCTCTAAATCATTTGAAGGAGACGAAAGAATCCCACCACAAACACGTGACAGCTCTCCGAGTGTTCCAGGATCGGACTGACATGTCTGGACAGCAACAGGAGTCATGAGTGGTACTCACTGAGGTGAAAACTCTTCAGATTTTCGCATTTATATTATGTAAATTACTCTCTTGTAGATGGTATTAATTTTCGCACTAAATTTTCAAATCTGATTCTTCTTCTTTAATATTCTGTATAATTAGTCGCCATTTTCGTCAGCTTCTGCAAGCAGACTATACAGTACATTGCATCAGATAATGTTACTTCCTTCCACTCTCTTACCTACTCACCACTCACACATTTCTCCTCAACCCATTTAGCGCTGCTGCGTGAAGTTGAAACCTCGTCGCTGAAGAACGTAATAATAAATTACCACAGAAAGAGTAGGCGTAATAATTATGCTCTAGACTTATACTTGAGGGGGAGTTCTTTTCGAATACAGCCTAAAATGAATAAGGATTTTCCTACTCGGACCATGTATAAAAATTCCTGAATGGGAATTCATCCTATCCTAAATCTTTGTTATAATGCACGCACCCATAAATCGTGAGAATAGAGAACAGCTACGACCTGTTCAAAGGCGACTATCAAATGAGCTGAGACCGAGAAATGAAAAGAGATCAATAAACAATATCGTTTGTTTATGTAAGTTTTGAGGTTTTCACGGCGATGACAATGATGAAAGTCGTCTTCTGGGTTTTGGCGCCGTGTATTCTTCGTTTTGGCCGACGTTCCTCCGAAACGTCGGCCAAAACTAAGAATACACGGCGCCAAAATCCAGAAGACGACTTTGATAATATCGTTTGTTTTTTGTTTTTTTTTTATTTACGACGTTTACAGTATATAGAAAATATGGCGTAAAATGGTGGAATGAGTAATGAATAATTAATTTTAAAGAATTGGAAAGAGTGTGATGGTGACAAAGTGAGCGCATTTTCTTGGAGAGAGTAAAGGAAACCACGAAAAGACACTCATGTTGGCCGGTGTCTAGGGAGATATTCGAACCGAATATCTTCATACAGCGTAACCATTGAACGAACGCTCTACATTAATCCTTTGAACTCTGAATTTAATATATGTATTATTTATGAATTGTTCTTACTCCCCAGAGAACAATGATCCGCTACAAAGACCAACCTGTTAGCGCTGTTAGGGAAATAATCACTGTTTATGCTGACAATCCAACGAAAAACATAAATATACGCTATGAGCAGAATGCAGTGCCCTCTCTTTAATGTGGAACTGTGATTTGCTCGTAGTTGCCACTCTGCTCTAAAGGGTTAATTAGTGTGACTTTAGGTCGACATTTTCCAGTTCTGAGTTGTGAGACGGGGTCGCGGACAGGTGGACGCTGTTTTCATTACATGTTGGCAACAGCATGAAACAAGCCAAAGGAGGCAATCATCTGTCTGTAACAGCAATTCTCTGTGATTGCATTATGAGAGAAAGGAGAAACAGTTTTGTCAGACATGACAGTGCCAGAGATCTATAAAACTGTTTTGTCACCAATATACAGGCTGCTATTATGTTATATCTGCATAGAAAGTGTGAATTCTGAGAATTCAGCGTTTCTCTGTTACATTCAGTATTCACTGAGGAACGTGTTTTGATTTATAGAAACCTAATATGCCTTTGTACGAGTATATATAAAACATTCTGTTTCGAGTCCTACCGTGAACATAATAAAGAACACCAAAAGAAATTGTAGAAATTACCGGTATTCTTACCAAACAGTACGGCAGCCACGGCTGTTAAATCGTTACACAAGTACAGGGGTAGAGCTTCTGAATGCTGTCAGAAGTCTTATTACGTAATTATGTAAATAAATTTTAGCCGGTCACTTTGGCCGAACGGTCTAAGGCATGAATCGTCTCTGTCCGCTTGAACACTGGGATCGTGTGTTCGAATTCCACTGGAGGCATGGATGTCTGTGTGCGTATATTCTGTGTTTGTGTTCTCATGTGTAGGTAGCGGCCTTGAAACGGGCTGATTCCCCATCATACGGGTCCTACCGACTCAAGATAATCAGTGTCCCTTCTAATGCTGGAACAGGGCCTTCTCGCGCACAAGTGAGAAGCGCTTCAACTTGAGCCAACTTGCTTATCCCTTAAAACAGAATTCTGTAATTCTCTTGCAGGTAAATGCTTAGAGTATGTTGTACTGTAGCTCAGCCAGTCAGGCGACGACCTGAAGTTCCATCCCAGGTCAGTACATATAGGGTTTATGATGGACAAACTGGCATTAGGGTAGGTTTTCAACCAGTTTCCAAGTTTCCCAACTTCACATGCTTATACATCATGCGAGGCTGGTATAAAGTACCCAGGGGCTCTGTCGCATCCCACCATAAGACTGAAAACAGCGCATCTACATTGCATAAACTTCCGCCAATACGACTGCACCCGCCTACGTTACATTGAAAACGAACACATTGTTGGTCGGTAGACCATTGCTTGTTGCTGAACAACAAGGAAATCCATCTCAGCGGTAAAGCCAGTTTAGAAGAAAGTTAACGTTCTGCGTTTGTGCTCCTAGCCTGCGTAACTTTATTTTCTGAAGATGCCACCAATGAAATTGTGTTGAAGAATATGATATCCTTAAGTTATTGAAATTTAATGAAATTCGTTACAGCCTTTTTTGAAAAATCGCAATTCTGTGCCCCTATTCGGAGTTCTCCTGTCGCTTTATTTACGTATATAGCAGTTTTCCTGCCAAGATATATGCTTTTAGTTTAATAAGGCCTTTTATTAGCTAGCCATGTCAGTGATAGTTGTACCATTGGTAGCCCACGGAAAAGAGCATCATAAATTGGGCAAAGAAGTATCAACAATTAAGAAGCACATGCTGCAGCAGTCTGCAGGGTAAGACGTCACATATAGATGCATGTTCCGACTTCATGAGGCATTGTCATGGCGCATAATTAAATTTAAAAAGAGATTAATACTTCTGAATAATACAGCATTTAGACAAACTAGCGATTGTAGTCAGTAAGTTTGGTTTTGTGACAAAACGACAATAATGTCTCACAATTGACTCACAAAAACACACAATATAACTTTATATTATTACAACTAACGATGTAAAGACTGTGTAGTTGGTATTAAAATGGGCCGTGCCATAGCTCAAGCGGTTAGGCGCTGGCTTCTCACCGCGGCGGCCCGGGTTCGATCCCGGGTCTGGTCAAGTGGGATTTGTGGTGGACAAAGTGCGCTGGGACAGGTTCTCTTCGAGTACTTCGGTTTCCCCTGCCAATCTTCATTCCACCAATTGCTCCACAATCACCCTCACCTATCATTTGGGGCTGGTACAATAGGCCAGAAGTGGCCGCAGTACAAGGGACTTAGTCCCACCCCACTAGCAATAAAGAAAATAATAAACAGTATTAAAATATTATGGAATATTTTATCAAGACTGAATCATGAACCAGTAGAGAGAGCTGTTGCTAGAGAACGTCCGCCTTTGAAAGCCGTTACCAGGTAACGATAATGAAGACGTGACTATGTACAGTGTGTGTGTGTGTGTGTGTGTGTGCAAAAGTGAACTGCAAATTGTAGTCATGCGCTGCACCAAAATGTGCAATAAATGGAGTCATCAACCCAAACCCGGTTTATAGTCAGTCTATCACGTGACAATATGTTGAAACTTTATCTTCATACAATTTTTGTTAAGGCTCGCCCTTTCCTAAACATGAAATTTATTGTTATTTCATTGCAAACAGAAGTGTGGCTTCGAATTATGTACATTGGCCCCTTCCCCCGCAAGCCAGTGAATGAATATTACTAAACAATTCTTGCTGCTAAGTCATTTATTTTCCACCAGAGATGAATATACTTCGGCCATGTTTTGAATTCATGGGAGTTTTTTAAAAATTCTGCTGCATGTCAAATGCTTCTGCCTTCTCGGAAAGTCTCTGTAGCTTTATTCATATCTTCTGCTTTCAACAATTGCTCCATCGCACAGAACCGAAGTAGGACTAAAATTGGAACTTCATTAAAAATTATACTTGTAAAATTTCCCAAAGCAGGTCTAATCACAGTACGTAGTTCACTGTATATAACTACGACTGCAATCACTGACAGCCTCCTAATAATGGGTTTGGAGCTCCGAGCACATAAGTATGGTTTAACTTCACCAAAACTATCAATAAACTCCAAAATAGTACAGCATGTCTGTCTAATCTGCAATGTTAATATCTTAGAATGTTTAAAAGCGCCCTATCTTTGGCTTACCTTAAAACTCCGACTTCAAAACAAAACTGTGTCACTCAAACACGCTCTTTTGTTCACCTTGGTTCACCCAGTATTTTTCTTTCAACGTGCTCGTTAAGGTCCAAAGAAACACTGCGCATGACAGCAGCGATTGAAGCGCCACAAGTATTCCGTATGCTCTCTGTCGGTTCCTCTTTCGTACAGCTGACCAAACAGAAGACACCAAACAAAATAAAATTTATTTTGTGTTACTGCCAGCATCGGCATGTAAGATAGCTTAGACAGTATAGTTACTATAGCTATATTATTTCTATATTTAGTAGGTGCTTCTATACTCCCAGTGGGCCTAGGTCTACCTCCATGAACTTCTCCGTTCACTTCGGATTTTCTAGATCTTACACATTCGGTAGGACTCCTTGGGCGGGTGATCAGCTCGTCGCAAGGCCTCTACCTGTTCACAAACACAGAAAAACGCACACACACAAATTAACATCCATGCTCTGAGTGGGATTCGAGACCACGATCCCGGTTTCCAAGCGAGCGAAGACAGTACGTGCCTTAGACCGCTCGGCTACCGTGACCGGCCATGTACGTACATGTTTATTAACGGAAATTATTTGAAAATTAATTATTTAAATGTTTTACACAAGGCCAATGTCACTTAATTTGTCTGTATGAAGAAGCGACCCATTGAATTAAGGTACTTGAGTCGAGTTGAGTCGTGAAGGGAAATCCAATATTTTCTGAGATGTCAACGAGCAGAAGAATCAACTCATTAGACAGATTTCACTTAAACAAGTGTTTTTGATTAATTCTAACTGCTCCATTCAGGATGGAAGACTTGTAAATGTAATGACTGTTTCCTTAGCCCTGAGTTTTGAGAAGGATTATTGGATATTACTGTCGAGGTTTATGTCAGAACAAAATGTTCCGGCTAATTACTCCACAGAGACCTGAAGATTCAGCAGAGCAGATCCCCTTCTTCCGTCTTCTCACTTGAGGTTTGAAACAGATTAAACTTATAAAATATTGTTTACTTTTTAAACACTTTATTATGAACATAGTAATACACAAATCCAATAGTCCTAAGCCCACTTTTTAAAAGTTAATTACGGTATTGATTCCACTACAGACTGTGTCAGGAATATTTCCCTTGTAGTGAGATAAATATCTTTTACATTATAACAGGTCTAGCATATAAGTCTTTTATATCTTATTAAGATAACGTTTATATCATTATTCCAAGTATTGTTTCAGCAAGTTAATATTAAAAAATAAATTTTGATTAGCCTGCGCGAACGAATAGGGGTTTACTGGACCAAAACGAACCAAATATGGCAAAATTTTGTTGCACATTACTGACACCAGATTTCAGAGTAATCTCTTCTGTAGTTTCTGAAAAGAAGCATGTAGCTGGACACGAACGCACTACAGCCATATTTTAAAAGCAATCCTGTCATGAGTGTCAGTGTTTGTGTCCGTCTTATCTCTCAGTACTCAAGCCCACTGACGCCATGTCTTTCGGTTCGGATGTACAACGAGGCATAAAAGATCTGTACGCAGGACACTGATAAAGGAAAGTTTTCTTACATAATTAAAGCACAGTTAATAGAGCGCATATCATCTGATTCAACATTAAGAAACCCTTCATTTTAAATATAAAATCAATTAATATTGTGCTATGTAAATCCATTTCTAGGGAACGCCGGAAAATAGCGCACGCAACAATAGCACCAGCGTTGTAAGAGGTGTTTTCTATGTGGTTCGCATATATTTCTAGGTAACGGGCCAATAAACACTCATTCTTGACAGCAGAAGAAAGTGTTTTCCTTGTGGTCCGTGCCGAGGAGTTATTTCGAAGAAAATTGACGCTATAGGGGTCAGTTGAGGGTTCAGCTGTGGAGTGTTATCCAGATGGCAACAGAAGCAGAATAATCTCCAATAATAAGATTTGTTATCAGGAAACGTCTCATGAAGCCACTGTAGAGGAATAGTCACTGTGGAGAGCTGTTGTCAAGTAAAGACTAATGAAAATAGACTGAGAAGACTGGTCACTAAGACATGTGTGATCCTCTGTTTAAGTACTGATGATTACTTTCCTAAACAGTAATAATATGGCGGTCTTTATAACTTAGATGCAGTTTGTTCCGTATGGAGTAGAGACTAAAGTTTTAAACAATATTTAAATGAACTTCATGCTTCAAAATATTAAGTTAACAAAATTGATCTTACCGGTGAATATTATTACCAAAGAAGGTGAAAGTTTTGAAAACTACAGGCTCACATACATGGCATTTGTTGAGTGCTAGTCTAGCAGCTTGTGTGTCTTTACCCCTTTCATTTCCTCCCTCGTTTTTAATTTCTTTGGTCTTCCTTCCGTGTTTAATTAAAATTTGTCTCACAGCAACCAGTCTTAAGACTTCAGATTTTCATCTTCAAGATAATGATAGAACGTGACCCCCAAAGGGTTTAACAACCTTTCTATGGAACCTACGACATGCATAAGAAAATTGAATCAGCCAGTTTCTCCGAAAAGTTCTTAACAGTCTTCAAGGACATTTGATGTCATAACCTCAAGACCATAATATGCTCGTAAATTTGCACCAGCATGAGAACTTCAAAACACTTTATTTTTTCTCTTCTCTGGCTCCCACTGATTTTTTAGTTTTATGAATATTTTACAGACGGTAGGAATTCTTGGACGGGTGATCAGCTAGTCGTAAGACCTGTATCTAAATACAGAACAACACAAACAGAGAATAAACGCATACACACACCAAACACTCATGCTTTGTGTGGGATTCGAACACATGATCCAGGTTTCCGAGCGAGAGAAGACAGTACATGCATTAGACCGTTTGGCTACCGTGACTGACTTCAAATGTCATACGGCTTAAAAACAAAACAACAAAAAAATTGTACCCAACAAAAAAATTCCCACGTGGTTCATACTCGTGGAGCCATAATTAGACCACGTTTCTGGCACAGAAAAATGAAGTAGAAAAACAAAGGAGGGCATCAGATCTAGTGTGAAAAATTCCTGGACGGAATAGCGGTAATTTTATTAATGAATCCCTCGGCTTTGTCACATCGGCACTTCTGTTCGACGAATGCAAATTTCCCTGCTTCAGCTCAATAGTTACTTCCACTTACTACCCTCGGCTAGCATCATTATAACTCTGATCTTCAAAGTTTACTGGTGAAACTTCCTGGAAACAGAAACTCACAAGAAATTCATTGTCTAAGTTACGGGACGTGTAAATAATGACAAGTTCTGCACTTCGATACCACGAGGCACCTTGAAACGCCACATAGTGTTCGTGAGATATTTTCTCTATGTACAGTGGAGTACAAACTAATCTTCTCAACGTCTGTTTCTTTCCAGTTTTCTTTGTAGTATATATTTGAACATGAAACTGTGCAAAGTATTGAGTATTTATGATACAAAAAATTCAGGAAGATTTGTTCCTTTTCTTGATATATTCGACGACGTTTTTAACTTAAGTGTGTCAGTGATACATGACTTTGGTGATTAATTCATTTAAGATGAATAGTGACAACAAGCAAGCAGAAAGAAAATAAGCCAGATCAAGAAGCTGTTATAATTTATTTACTTTGAGAGAAGTCTTTGATGCGGATACACATTAAAAGTATTTCCCTTTCAGCTATTCCAGCAGAGCGTTAAAAATCTGAAACGGACACAAATAAATATACAAAGCTCCAATTGTGTTCAAAGTTTTGTAATTTGGTTAAAATTGTGTTGCTGCAGGCGGATTTTAAATTGAGAGGCACTGAAATTATTTGTCTGCTTTCCTTTCTTAAGGGGGGTACGCGGTAGTGTAGTTGGTTGAGGCACTATAGTACAAGCCAGAAGGTAGGGGGTTCAAATCCCGATAAGGTCATTGGATTTTTTCAATTGACCTAATCCTTCCAGCCGCACTATGGTCCTGGGGTCGATTCAGCCTCTAATAGAAATTAGTACCAGGAATATTCTTGGATTATTCTTGGGGGTAAAGGGCGGCCGGCGCGTATGGCTGACGACCTTGCCGCAATCTGTGAGCAGATTGTCTAGAAAATGTGGGAACCTCAACGTCTCACAACCCTATGGGCCTCCACGGCCTGTTACAGGGGTACCTTTACTTACTTTTTACTTTCTTCCCTTTCTTAAAACGGAATGTAGTGTTATGAGATCGCTATGTCGTCTGTTTGTAAGCCTATAATCCCACTGACCAATTTTCATGGAACATCGTATAATCGCCATTTTACATTTCATACAGTTAGTAATGTTAACATTGCGGACGCGCGAAATTATGAAGTGGGAGCTCTACTTGCTCCATTTAATATAAAATCTCAGTGTGGTGTATGGTAATATTTCTTTGAATAACTTCCTACCCTTGTCGAGTTAATTTTTGTATAAGAATGGGGAGCTTCATGACTTGTGTTTTTCTCCATGTATAATTAGAATGACCAAGTTAAGGAGGATGAGATGGGCAGGACACGTAGCACGAATAGGGAGAAGAGGAATTCATATGGGATATTAGTGGGAAAGTCAGAAGGAAAGAGGCCATTAAGAAGACCAAAGCGTAGGTGTGTGGACAATATTAAAATGGATCTTAGAGAGATAGGATGGGATAGTATGGATTGGATTAATCTGGCTCAGGATAGGGACCAATGGAGGGCTCTTCTGAATAAGGTAAAAAATCTTCGGGTCCCATAAAATGCTGGGAAATTCTTGTGTAGCTGCAAAATTGGCGGCTCCTCAAGAAGGCCTCAGCTCCATATGTGAAAGCTATACTTGTAACAGGCCGTGAAGGCCCATAGGGTTGTGAGACGTTGAGGGTCCCACATTATCTAGACAATCGGCTCAAAGATGGCGGTAAGGTTGTCAGCCTTACTCCCCAGGAAAATTATTTAATTAATTCCTGGAACTCATTTCTGTTATAGGCTGAGTCGACCCCAGGGCCATAGTGTGGCTGGAAGGATTAGGTCAATTGAAAAAAATTAGATGACCTCATTGGGACTTGAATCCGCGACCTTCCGGCTTGTAGCATAGTGCCTCAACCAACTACGCTACGCCTTGCCCCCAGCTCCATAACTAAGTAAAGTAACAATATGGCTGCAGTGTATACATTTCTTAGCTTTCGCT